GGCCGCCTTCGCTGCGGGTCCGCCGGCCCCACAGGTGGCCCCGGTTGGTGTGACGTGCAGGTTCCCCGAAGCGTGCAGCACGGCTTAAGATCCCTGGGGTTTAGAGTGTAGGATACGCCGATGAGAAGGTGAGGTATTTCCCTTCTGAATTTTCAGGAGCTCCAGCGTCCACCGTCTTCTGCAAGTTGTGGCGCAGCAGCAGGGCTGTCTTGGGAAAGCTCGGTTTGACACCGGCGCGTGGTGCCCGTGTTTTCTCCAAGCAAACGTCACGGGATTTTTTGCAATGAGTAGAGGAGCAACGGGCTGGATTATCTGGGTCCAAAATTTAATAATCAATACCAAGGAGGAAGAATTAGAAAAAAGTACAGGCTAACAGCTTCTTGCTACCCTGGACCATGAAAAGCACAGATCACCATCCTTGGCATAACCTTTCTCTCTTAACTATGCAAGTCTCTGGTTTATTAGACATGGTAGTCCACTAGCAACAGCATTGTTTAAGTAAGCAGAGAATGCTGCTGGGTTAAATATTTAAAGAACAGAAATTGGCTCCTTGTTGCTTATTTTGCTATTTTTAGTGCTGCTGCCTATGCCAGAAGTTTGCACATCAGCAGCCTGGAGCTGCTTGGGGCAAACCCTGGCAGCAGTGGGTGTTGAAGCTTTTATAAAGCTCATTATATGCATGTATATACAGACACATATATAATACACCTATCTGAGACACATTTGGAAGTGTGGAGCCAGCTCCATGAGATGGCGGGAGGTACAGGACTTCCTTTAAGCCATGGGTGCCCCTTTCAGAGCAAGCATGCTACCTCCTGAATTCAGTTCCTTTGGGTTATTTCCAGATAGCACAAACAAGAGTCACCCCAAAAAGGTGGAGAAAACAGCATTGTGCACACGCAGGCACAGCCTGTGTTGTGGGATGCGTGGTGACTGTGGCACTGAACAGGTGAAAAAGGAGCCTTTGCTACCTCTGATCACGTAAAGGATTTCAGCTGCTGCTGCTAATGTGGCCATAGATGAAAGTGATGCTGAAATAATTCACACATCCTAGTGTAATTTTAGAACACGCAAATTTGCTTTTCAAAATGATCAATGAGTAAGAGGAGTTGATACTCTGGTCCATCAGTTAATTAAAAGTAGACAAAATGCAGAGCTGGCCAGCACTCCATGTTAAGGACTCAATTTAAAGCATGTCTGTCTGTATATAGTGTATAGATACATCATCGTTCATGTAGGATACTGACATCTACTGAAATATTCCCTCCTCCTTTCCAGAGAAGGAGGAAGCAAGAAGAAAGCTCTGCAGTTTAAGATAATTAGAAGAGACAGCTGGAGGGAGGACGAGGACTGTCTGCTCTAGAACAGATCATCTGGCAGGACCTAGCACAGCAATGGAGGAAATAATATGAAGCTGTCGAAGCAAAGTAGGAGGGCACATGGTCCTTAGGTTTGGTGTAGTGGGGAACAAGCACGTTTCTGGGAAAAAAAACAGCCTCAGGAGAAAGAAAAAAAGCACATGGAGAAGCCCACATGTGGAACAGGAAAATACAGGCACTGAAAAAAAGCTGTGATCATGCAAACAAAGAGAATGGGATGTCATGAATGTGCCCTCGCTCACCTCTCTCCTCATGGGGAATGATAGTCAGTCAGGCTCTTTCCTTAGAACCCCAGAGGACATAATTTTGAACTGTAGAGATCTTTGCTACTTTAAGTGTCCTGTGTGAAAAGCTAAGCCATGCTTGCAATAACAGGTTTTCATAGAATAAAAATAAGGGCTAAGCCACAACTGAACTTTCAGTTGGTTTGTATTTATTTCAGATTATCAGGAGAGCAGAGATTATGGGATGTAATGAAATGCTATCAAAGGGGTTTGGGCTGGAGGTGCAAGAAAGGAGATTTTAGTGTATTAGTTTAAACAGAAATGGCTTCAATATACCCAAGCTATTTCCCAGACATTAACCCTGTGTACCAGACATTGACCCATTCAGGGATTTTGCACTGACTGAGCTAGAGACTAAAAGGCAAGTCTGTGCTGAAGAAATAACACATTTCTTTTTTAAGAACAGATGGTGATTGGGATAGGGGATATTAGCTTTTCTGGACAATTCAAATAAATTTACCCAGTTGATGCAATGCAAAGAATAGTCACGCATCTCCTGTTATGTGTAAGAAAAGGTGGAACTACATCCCTCAAAATATGTGGAAGGTTGAACCTCCCTGCCCTGCGTTGTAATGGCCCTTTTCATCCAGTGCCAAGAGAGGTTCCCAGCCTGTTGGGAGAGCTGTGCCCCTAGAAGCATCATCCCTCCAGCTCTGCATGTGATAGGTACAAGCTCCTATAACAGAGTATTAATTTAGTGTGGGCCAGATTCAGCTCTGCTGTAACTCCAGTCTAATTAAGCCAAGAAGCTATTTAGCATGATATCATTTTTTCCATAACCATCTTTTCACAGAGGACATGCCTCTGCCAACTCAGGCTGCGATTAGGGAAGACTCTGGATAGAACTGTTGACAATATGTTTGCAGAGTACTAAATACCATTGAATATGATCTGTAAATATTTACACTTGGAGGAAGAGATTTGCTCTTTGCATAGTTTTCATGCTGGCATCTGCTGGGCTGAATAAATTACTAATAAAAATCACATTGTGAAAAAAAGTTGTCCATGTTGATTCTTTGGAGCTGTTTTATTAAAGACAATGGTGCGATAAGGAAATACATCCCTTGGAAATTACATTCTCTCCAAAATTTCAGTGCTGGAATAGGCACTGTTGCTCTGGGAAACTGAGGCACACATGCTGCAGGAGTGCAAGTTGTCCTAGCGAGGAACCCTAGGCTGACACAAGGAGCATTTTAGTTGGGGAAGGAGAGTCCTCTGGCAGGAGTGGTACCTGCAGCCAGCTGTACAATGGCTCTTTGGCATGACAGTCTTGAAGAGATTTGGCCACAGTTCCTTTCTGGTATTGCATCTTTCCCAGCTGTGAATTCAGTCCCACCAAATCATGAGTCTGGCCGGCTCTTGCAATCCTGAGTCTTTTCTGAGCGTTCTAGCTTGCTTAGGCAAGATACTGCATGAGATTCCTCACTATCATTTTTAAATGGCTTTGGTGTATGTGAGGAGACATGTGGAAATGTGAAACAAATGCCCCTAAAAGTGGAAACATGGATAAGCATATCTCAGTTTCAGTGATCTGAACTCCTCATATTTGAGTGCAAGTGTTCCCATCCACTGACAGTAGTCACTTCAAAGTCAAATTCCATAATTAAAATTCTAAATGCTCTTCATAAACTCATTTTAAAGCCAGGATTCTCATGTAATATAATAATTGTAGCAATGTGCACCAAATTAAAGAACAGTCATCGGATTGACTGGATTTTGAGTTATTATAAAGAATTAAATACATGCAAACAGCTTTATCAGCTGAATTTATCTTCTCTGTGCATCCACAGAACATTACAACCACAAATATAACATCACTGAGGACCCATCGAGATGCTCCACTTATGTTCAGGCTCCTAGTGCTGTCCCACTGGCATCATGTTACTGCAGCTTCATCATGAAAAATGGGTATCGTGCTCTGACAGAAATCCTGCCTCTCTGATGCCATGGAAATCTCTGAAGGACAAGTTAAACCTACATTAACTCCTCACAGCTAAGAAGCAGTAGAAAAATATTTCTGGCAGTGCATTATCATATGTGTATTGTACCTGATACCACGGCACAATGTGTTGCCACAGCCTGTATTTAACTATCTTTCTCCTTACTGGTTAGCACTGCAGCTGCTTGCCAAGCTGTCATCCCTGATAGAGTGGAAAAGCAAGCACAGGCTGAGAGTGGAGGTAACCCGGGACCAAAGAGAGTCACAGCCTGTGCAAGAGGTGCAAGGGCAGAAAGGGGATGCTGGCAAACTGTTAAAATTGCCTTTGGGCTGTGGCACCAGACAGAAAGCTGCTCTTGAGAAGTTTCTAACCACAGCCCCACCACGTTACCCTGCGACCACGCTGCAACCTGGAAAATCTCTTGGCTGGGTACAAACACATGGTGGCAGATGTTGTGCTGTGTGAAGACCAGGTGGGAGTGCTGCTGTAGCTCATCCCCTGGGCTGCAGCTGGCAGCTACACCCCACTGCTGTGGCCTGGGATACGCTCCAGTAGGCAACGGTGCCATCGGATGCCATAGGGGTATATAATAAATCCACAGCAGGAGCTTACACAATATAAATTCATGCCAATTCCCAAGGGTCCAAATTCGAGCTTCTTGGCTGTTCTAGCATTTGGATTTCTCATGATGCAGCAACTCCAACATCACCACAAAGTGGGAGCGTATGGTGTTTTCTACTACTGGTTGGAAATGTTCTTGCTGAACAGAGATGGAACGTGTCTGATGGGTACTGTACAGTCACACACAAGAGCTGGTCCTCACTCCTTAAACGCTATCCTGAAGAAGAGCAGACAGGCTATCTTCACTAATGAGAGTGGAAAAGGAGAAGGGGCATGTTTCCAGTGTGTTAACTGATTAATTTTTCCTAAGGGAAAGCAAAACATACTTTGGCTGGTCAATGCAACCTGCCTTGTGCACATAGATATTTTAAGCACGTCTCTCCTTCTGGCACAGGTGTGGCCATACAGGGAAGTAGAAGGGTTGGGAGAGAGACAGATCAGAAGTGCCATGCCAGGAATATAGCTAAATTCTCATGAGAGTTACTGTTGACCTGGTTTCTGCTCTGCTGTGTTTAACTCACCCAGAAGGATTTCTGAGTTGCACCAGAGTGCTTTGCACTGGCTGCTTCCCTTTTTGAAGGACAGCCCAAGCTGATGCAAAGGATGTATTTGGAAACAAGAGGCAATCCCTTCACAAAGTAAAGCTGGAAAAGCAACATAAGCAAGAATCCAAACTGGAAAAAGTGAGTTGCTAAGTGGGGTGGCAGAGGACAGAGAAGAAAAATAAAAAGTAATGGGAGTAGTTGCCAAATCCCATCTTTGCCTAGAGCTGTGCTGGGAGGATTTTTAACTTGAGAGATTAAGAGTGCTTAAAAATAATAACCTGGAACTTAAGCCTGTATCCTTTATGCCGAAAGCAAGGTTTGTCCTGCTTGAGGAGATCAGCCACAATAGAATGAAGCTCAAGTGCTACTTTACCAGTCAAATGGATGCAGACTTTGCACCACACCTCATACTGAGTGCAACATATTCAAGACAAATACAGGGCTTCCTGCTTCAGTCCTTCTCCCTCCCTCCTCACACCACAAATCAGGACCTTGATGCTATGCCAAGAACACCTGAAGATTACGTGCAGCTGAAGCTGGAGCTGACCAAGAACTCGGCAAACGCTGCTGTTGAGTTTTTGCTTTTTCCAGCCCGTCTGTGTGTGGGCAATGGATTTGCCAATGAATTTTGCATTGTTTTCTCTCTCCTCGCTGCCTTACCGGTAGCATCCATCAAACCATCAGCCTTATGGCCTTAGGCACAGAAGGAAGAGGCTGTAGCTACTTGCATAACTCAAAGAAACAAAGATTGTGACAGGAATGCATGGCAGTGTTGCTGTCAGCCTCATATCTGGTGGCATTTCTGCAAGACACCATTCTGCCCACCACCTTTCACTGGCTTATAGGTTCAGTATGAAAATGTGAGGTGAACAGAAACCTGCACAAATGAATCCAGCATGGAGCAGATGTAGGTTTGATTTGTTGTACTAGAAAACAAACAACAAAAAAAGCTAGCTATTTTCAAATAAAGCCTTTTGACTGTATTCAGCAGAGTTCTGAGGCATAGAAAGAGGCACTGTATTATTAACAAACCACCACAGTCTGTACTTGTAGATTTAAAAAAAAAAATTAAAAAAAATCAACCCAAACAAATTGCACAGCAGCCTAAACAGTGGAAGCACTGATGGAAGAGCAGGGCGACTGCTCTAATGATACAGCATGCATAGGAACGCCTACATCTTTTGAACCAGGGGCCCATGCAGTGTCTGCAGGAGCTGGAACACAGCAATGCCTGATGCCATTCCCCTCCTGAGATCAGGTGCAGCCAGGGCAAGAGAAGGCAGTTAACCAGTAACGTACTTTCTGGTGCTTAGTTTCCTACATAGCAATCTGTTTAACATTAACTGAGCTTATTATGGATTTTTTCCCCTTCCATATTGCAGCCAAGGGATTCAGAAACTTCCCTGGGGCTGGCAGGGCCAAGGGCAGCAGGAGGCAGCAGACACAGGGCAGGATGCTCCAGGTGCCATGTGAGAGTTTCCTCCCCAGCCTGCCCAGGACACTGGGTGTGGGTTTCCCAGCCTCTACCCGTGACACTGCAGGACTGCCAAAAGTCTCAAAGAAGAAGTGTGGTGGTGGAAAGAGATAGCCTGAACACCAGTGGGGAGTTGGACTGACTGGAAGCAGGCTAGACAAGGAGGTGCATGCACACCTCCAGGGGTGGCTTAGGGACTGACTCCCCTTTTCAGAGCTTGCAAGAAAGCAGAGAAGGGTTAAAGCTTCTTCTCCTCGCTGCTTTTTCTGCTCGATTAACCTATTGCCACCCTGTCAGCCAAAATGAATGTC